CCCTAAACCCTAAACCCTACCTTGCTGTAATTACTATAAGGCTCCTACCGTAGACACAAGGGTAGTTCTCTAAATTAGGATCCCTTTTTAGACCCCCATCATAGTACGGCACCCTTATTAAAAAGGATCCCAAAAGGGACCCTAATTAAGAGAACTACCCACAAGGATCTCCCCTAAACCCTAAACCCTAAACCCCAAAGCCTAAGCCCTAAACCCTAAACCGTCTCATCCTTAAGGTTAAGACCTCCACGCCATGCTGCAGGTCGAAGGAGTGAACCAGGAGGTCCCCGGGCTCGAGGCGCACCGTCCTTCACGGTTTAGGGTTTAGGGTTTAGGGTTTCGGCTGGCACTCGCAGCGGAATGTACTCATATCACCCAGAAGCAGATGGGTAGTTCTCTAAATTAGGGTTCCCTTCTTGGGGTGCTTCTTATAAGGGTGCCGTACTACCTCTGAGATTCATGCCATTTCACGGCACTGGGCCAGTTGGGCTTTGTCTCGGTGTAGTACTCAAGGACTGGATTCGGGCCACAGACACTTGAAACGGCCTTAGCTGAAGGCAGTGCCATGTGCAGCGCAACATCACCTCCTCGTAAAACCCTAAACCCTAAACCCAGCACCCCCTAAACCCTAATTCCTTGCTGCTTGTGAGTTCGTTTTGCGTCGTGGAGTCGTGGCGGGGAAATCTGCGGGTCCGAAGGCAGATCCCGAATCTCAATCTCTCGCTGGGGACCAAAAATTCACAGCTTCCCGTAGTTTGCTGAATGGTCAGCAATACCTGTAGTCTCCATTGTAGCTCCTTTTTGGGGGATACCATATAAAATCCTTACTATATAGCTGGTTAAACCCAAGAAAGGAACTACAATGGAGACTATAGGTATGATTCTTTCATGGCCCTATTCCCAACTCTTTCGGCTCTTACTTCGGTTTCTGAGGCTTCCAAAGTCCTGCGACTGGAGATCTGGGGTCCGGGCTGCAGGTAGAGACCTCCTGGGCTTTGAAGTAACCAGGGGTTTAGGGTTTAGGGTTTAGGGTTTAGGGTTTAGGGTTTTATTTCATGATGGTTCCTTTAAGGAGCAGGCCCAAAAAACAGTATTAAAGCATGGTACTCCAAAGCCCAGCCTCCTTCATACCCGGAAGGATCGGAGAGGCCCAGCACGGCGGTGGCGAAGGCGTGGCCATCGTAGTGCGCTGCGTGGCTGCGCCGCTCTTGTGGGAGGTATCCTTCGCTCTTGAGGCATCTGCGAGCGTTTAGGGTTTGGGGGGGTTTAGGGCTAGGGTTTAGGGCTTCTTCTACATTGCTGTAGTTTGCGTCAACGCTGCTCCTAAGATCAGTCATGGCCAGGCAGTGGTTCGAAGACGAAGAGGGGCACCGCAATTAAATGATATATGGGTAGTTGTCAAAATTATGGTCCCTTTTGGGGTACCCTAAATAATAGGTGCCGTAGTTTAATAAGGACCCTAAAAGGGACCATA